CGGAAGATAAAAACAGCATAATTCAATCATTTTAAAGAAAAAAAATGTACAATTTACAAACATATAAAGTAAAGAAACTGAGATCCCGAGTCGGGTAATAGAGTAGATATATATATATAAATTATATTTATATACATTTGTGGGGCCGATTGCAACCAAAATACGAGGTGCACATTACATGTTATAGCAGTCCTATATACAAAATTTCACGTTCTGAGGCTACTCGTTTTTGAGTTATGCGAGATACGTACGTACATACGTTCGTACAGACGCCACGAAAACTGTCTTCCGAATTAATTTTAAAGCAGTTTTATAATTTTTTGAAGGAAAAGTCTTTTATTCTGTCCTTACGTACAGATATCATGCAAAAACATTGTTAAATTGCATTCGATAGCCGTCAAAATGGATATTTTCGTTGAAATATGCTGCCTGAATCTTTTCGCGATTACAATACTTCCTTTTTACTTCGTACAAGGAAGTAAAAAGGAGAGATTTAAAACTTTGCCTCTAGATAACCACCTACGGAACGTAACAAACATGTTTTCTGTTCACTGCCCATCTCATGCCATGAAATCATAAACATTCTTGAATTTAAAGCTCGGAATTGAAGCTGAATAATGTTTGCATAATCCGAGTTAAAAAAAAAAAAGCATTTATTTTACATATTTTTAAAGAAAGAACGTTCTGAAAAACATGTTTCTTCATCTGCACAATCTAAAACGATGTTCTCACTTCTAAACATTACAGCATCTACCTTGGCACACATCAGAAAAGAACAAATTGAAGTATTACAGAAGAGCTGTTGCCATATAAGAAAAGAAATATAGTTACAAAACTCACGAGGCAATGCTTTATGCAATAATAAAACAAAAAACACTTTCGAAAAATTAATAATAATAATAAATTCTTAATTTTAAAATAAACAAGTAAAAATATTGTCTTGATTATGCAACACTCAGATTTATACAAAATTAACAATTTTCAGGTTTTTGGGGATTGTTTTGAATAAATTTAGTTTCATTCGTGACTTTATTTGGGAAATAACAACATTTTCCTGTTAAAGACTGAACTTCTCTACTGCATACGGCAATGCACTTATTCCAAGGAATACCCTTCTCAGATATAAAACTGTCAATTACTTTGAAATTTTCATTTGCAGTTGTTCTATCATGAAGAGATTCATAAAATAAATACTCTTCGGCAATCTTCTTCAGAAACATATATAGGCTATTAATTGAACAAAGTTCGTTATATCAGTACTTTCATACAATTGCAATGCGAAATACTTACTACGTTTTATTTTTTGGATGATTGTCTCTTTTATGGAATTTGCCATTTCATGAATTTGTCGATTTACTGTATCATTTGATAACAGAATATTATTAAGTTCATCAGCCGCTTTTTCGTTGAATAATGTTAAAATGATATCTTTAGCTGCTGCTAATATAAGGTTTTCTCCAAAAGTGTGAGCCTGCCCAGTCTTAGGCTTACTAGGTAACTAGCTTCCAAAGCTTTTTCATTTGAAATAACAAAACCTTTCATTACTTAATTTAGAAGTCAATGAACAAGATAAGATTCTTATATTATTCTTGATTACAAGATAAGATTTATTTGCTCTTTGGCAGCTGAGGATGATGATTCGGTTAAACCATCGAAACTAGTCCTGTGAAAATCTGCAAATATAACGCTGATTTTTGCTGACTTCTAAATTAATATTTGTTTAACGTGTTATTTTTACCTACCTTTCACTACTTGTTTACTATTATTGAACTCCAATAATTTCCTCTTAAAATATTCTAAAGATTTATCCTTTAAACTGGCACGCTGAGATTTAAGATGTCTTTTAAGAAATGATGCTTTCATACTTTGATTGGAAAACAGTTCACCGCAAACAACAAATTGAGGTTGAGGGTCCATTTCATCGCGATTCCAAGTAAGCCCCAAATGATAAATAACTTCCATTATAATTTCTATGAAAACAATTTTTCTTTTCAATATTCTTAGTGATAGTAGCTTGTCCTGGATCCACCACTTTTCCACTTAGTCAATCCTAGCCATTTTTCCATTTTGAAAAATCTAGATTTGTTTTATTATTTTTTCACAAATATTTAAATGCACAATATATTAAGAGTTCTTCAAAAACAAATGACGATAGTCTCAAATCGTGCAGGAAAAAGAGAAATACAAAGCAACAAGACAAAATACCTGCTGTTAGAGACAGCAAATTGAGGTAAAAAAAATGATTCTAATTGAAAATGCCCGGAAATGGTGGCGACATAAAATGTAGACATGCTAATAATTCGATCAACCCTAAAAGAATTAATGAGATGTTAGTATCTTTTTATAGGAACTTACTTCCCCCCTATTTAAGACAGCATCCATTTCTATTAATACTTTTAAAACATCATTGGTGACAAATTTTGTTTTGTCTATGGTTAAAAGAATATTTGTGAAAATAAAAATGGATTATTTTGCTAGTCTATAAGCGGCTATTGAATTTAAACAAAGGTCAGATCGCATGAATTTATGAGTGTTATAGTAGAAACTTAGAACTGGATTTTGAGATATTTGGTATTTAATTTTTGAATGTAATTTGGTAAAAAATAATTTGTATTTTCGTGTACCACTTATTTTTCTCTTGCGTACCACCGGTTGAGAATTGTTGGTCTATACAAATATCATGAATCCCATTTATATTGCATTTTATATGAGTAAGTCTTGTGTAAAAAATTACATTCATCTATCTTAATAACAAGAGAAGTAAATGTAAGAATTGGAGTCCTCAATTATAAAATGAAATGATTCTATACTGAGGTGCTTAATATATGGTGAGAAAAACATCTTTTATTAATTAAAAAATAATGCAAATTTTCATAATTGTCAATTGTACATACTATTACTTTAAATTACACTAATTAAGTATTATTCAAAATTGATTTAAATTATTAAGAAGCTTTTAAATCATTCAGTCACTTAAATAGTTATGATTTGAACTATAAGGTCTTTAATTAATATCATGTTGAATAAGAGCACTTTGCTAGTTAGAAGATAGATACATTTCTTGCAGTGGTAACATTTGATCAAGTCATGTAGATGATGAATATATGATATTGAAGTATAAGAGTTTAAAAATTTTGGAAAGACTCCATTAAAGATGTCTCCAGTGACACTTAAAATAGCATATAAATTTTCTTTTAAAAACTTTTTGAAGGAAAGCCTCACTAAATGCTTATTAATTATTGTGGAATACAATAAGAATTAAAAAAATATGGTTTGAAATTATATCTAGCAAATCCTGAATATGATCAATAAGCATATTCTTTCAGCTCTCAGGATTAAATTGTTTCACTAATGCTAATAATTGAGGTTTTTGCTATTTCTAATTTTGGTTGGTATGTATTTTTATTTTCAGGATGAAAGATCATCCAGAATATCCATTTCATGCTCCCTATTGAAGTTCTTGTTCTGTGTCCTTTTATATTTCAACCACCAAATAAATATTTTGAAGTAGAAAATTTTGCTGTAAACATTTCTGAAAATTATTCATTTATATACGCACAAGTTACATTTTTGATTGCATCATATGAAAATATTAGCTGAAAATGTATTAAAATCATCATTGTAATACATCACTTGAATATTCTTGGATATAAAGCTATCAAGCTACTGCCTAACATACAAGAATGACCACTATTTAATTTACCTAAATTTTCTCAGCAATACAAATTTCAAATAGACTGGTGTTAATTAAAAGACTTTTCACAATTGGTGAATTATCTCCAAAAACGACTAAAAAGATTTTATTGAAATTTGACACAAATATAAATTGATATATTAAAAAAATTACATGCCTACAAACAAAATGAGACAGAAACAGATTGTTATGTAAGGTTCATTTAGTATAGGAAGGTTTAAAGCAGAGATTTATGATCAAAGGAAAGAAGGCTAATATTGGATTATGATCCCTTCTAATACTCGTATGGTTCTAACAATGTAAGTTCTTACTAGAAATCGGAAAGTTAACGAGGCCTTGGGGCAGTGCTGTTTTCAGGGCTTGGAAGAGTCTGGGAGGAAGAAGACTAGTTGTGATTGTTCTCCCAAGAGTGTTCCAGATATGTTCCATAGGGTTTAGGTCTGGAATTTTGGCTGCTCTATCCATCTGGCCACACTGAATTTCCATTCACCAGATTGCACAACAATTATACACAACAAATTGAGAAAAGAGTTAAAAGGTAACAAAAAATTTTGGGAGAATGGAGGGGTAAAAGCACTGAATACAAAATGGCAGTAATGAAAATATAATGGGATAAACTGTTTTGGAAAAGTCTTGTAGATTTCAAATAAGAAAGCCATTTCTATGGTTAAATTTACTCTTATTGCTTATTTGTTGTAGCATGAAAGATATTAACTACAAGAGTTTTTAAACCTATATGTGTAAACAAATTCATATTTAACTAATTAAAGTGACTTTACTAAAAATGAAAATTAGTAATGCCAAAATTCTGCTAAAATACTTCATAGTTTTTTATACTAATAATTAAAAAAAATATGTATAATCACCTCAAATTATTAATTTACTGTTAATGCACGGTAACCACTTATTAAGTTAATGCAGCAAAAAGTAAAAAGTTAAATAAAAGAATTCTGATTTTTTCCCCCACCCTGCTCAATGATATTATGCTTGTATATTTCTATCTGAATCTGCAGGAAAGAATTGACTCCCAACTCCACTTTTGATAGATTTGTGTTCAGGGATCTTTTCTATTAAAAAAAATCATTCTTTGCATTGGAGTAAAAGCCATTTGAGTAGCCATAAAAAATCATTTTTACTAGCACTGGAGCTATACAAAGGCATTTATATTTTGTTCAACTATGCAAAAAAAAAAAAAAAAAAAAAAAAAAAGCATAGTATGTTCAAAATACAGCTGCATGGTAATAAATTAGAATTATTATGAATATTTAAGACAAATACAAAAATACAAAATAAGAAAAAAAAAAAAAAAAAAAAAAAAAAAAAAAAAATAGATGCATGAATCATGAAAACAAAATACACATAATCAAAATAATTTAAATCGAGTTATCAAACAATGATATGTACAATTTACATATTAATATACTGAAATATAAATAAAACTGAGCAATTTTGAAAATAAATTTTTATTTCAGATTTCATAAATAATACAAAAATATAAAAATATCTGATAAAAATATATCATTTACATAATACAAAAATAACATTAAAAATATCTAATACTATAAATTTCCTTTTTCCTTCTGCCTTTCAAATTCTATAACCTGGAAAATAAAAATACATTTTTTAAAAACTTATATTTAATACATAATTAAAAAGACCAGAGATCCTCAACTTACTAAAAGTGCTTTTTAAAGGTATATATTTGTCCACTCTTAAAAATCTGACTAAATAACCAATTTGTGTTTTTGATATACTGTTAAACTATACATATATATGGAAGATGAAAAAATATGAAAGCAAACTTCTAATTTTAATTAGGTATAACCTCTTTTATTTTTCATTTAATTTGGGGACTTCATCTTGCTGTCTTAGAAACAGCACCATAAGTCTACACTGAGTCATTCAAATTAATCATGCGATCTTAGGTAACCCTTAATGCAGATATCTCCCAATCAAAGTAATTTGTAAACCAAAACCGTTTATGGCTCCTCCCTTCTTTCTCTGAAGTATTGTGACACTCTCTCTTTTCTCACTTATGCTTTCATCTTGTTAAAACACTTTTGCAATCGTCTATATTTTCTGCTGTCGCTATAGTATACCAACAGACCCAAGGCTATGAAATTTGGTACACTGCGAAAACAAAAATGGGACAGTTTTATATCTCCCATTCTACTGAGCCGATTGACGAAATTCAATTTGCGTTTTTCATGTCTCGAAAGCGCAACTTGATATGTATTAGATTTATACACAGCATTGTTCTAATGTAAGTATTTTGACACAAAATTGGACTTTTTCTGAAATCACATGCCAGTTTGTTTCCATATTTCGATTCTACGACTCAAATTACGCCAAACTACCAAGTTTTGTAAAAACTGCACGAGTAGGTTTAAAAAATTAGCTCTCAAAATTTTAGCTCAGTGTTAATTGAGTTTGGTATATATTGATTAATCTCTCTGTTTTAATTAAGCTTATTCGATTCTTGCTCTCACATTTCGAAATTCAGGTTCATTCCTAATAAACCCAGTTTTATGATTTAATTTTAAAATTCATTTAAAAATAATTTTTATAAATTTTTCAAAAAAAAAAAAATTGAATTATAAGCTATAACATTTTTACCATCATCTTAAAATTGACGTATTTCTATGCATGCCTGCAAAAAATTACAATTTTTTATTCAAAATTTCTGAAGATATACAGGAATTTATATATTGGCATGTTTTGAAATTTGGCATATTTGTTGAAAGCGATAAAACATCAGATGTGGTTTAGACACTTTGCTAATAAAATGATTTGGAAGTAGAAACGATGTGAATTTTTTTCTGCTCATACACAATGCAAAAAGGTAGGAACGAGGTGCCTTTTTTTTCCACTCCCGCATAATAGAAGAGAAAGGAAAATTGGTTGCCATATATTAAGAAGTTCATTAAGTGACTCATTCTTGGTCAAGCTGAAAAAATTTCGAAAAGATAAGTTTTTGAATTTCTCTTTAAATTTCACACCAAATTTTACAAAATTTAATATCTGGGCATAATTTGTGTCGTAGAATCGAAATATGGAAAAAATTGGTATGTTATTTCTGAAAAAGTCCGAATTTGTGTCAAAATACCTATGTTAGAACAATGCTATATATATATATATATTATATATATATAATATATATCCTAAGTCGAGCTTTCGAGACATGAAAAATGCAATTTGAATCTTGTTAATCGGCCCAGTAGAACGGGAGATATAGAATTGTCTTTTTTTTTTTTTTACTTCCCACAGTGTACTTGCTCATGTAACCTTATTTTTTGAGCAAAACTTAGTATTCTTGAGATCTTTCATGGTACATTATGTAAGATACTATAATTTACATATAATTTCACTAAAATTATTTTTACATATATATAAAATGTAATAATAATAATTTAACTTTATACTTGCTTTTTTACATACATGTTTGTTAAAATGTAATAATAATATTGTAATAAATTGTAATAATGTAAATAATAAATAATAATATTGTAATAATAAATAATAAATGTAATAATAAATAATAATATTGGCCCCTTCCTAAGGACAGAACCTCTAAGGCAGGACAATCCTTATACAGGAAGCCATATTTACAACAAAAGAAATCAATAACTTAACAATAAATAGAAACAAATCAAACACTAAATCAATAAATAAGTGCATCAATTTACAAATACATATATACTTAGGACCATGGTTTTCCGAATATAAGACACTTTTGAATATGGAGCGAGTTCCAGAGAGCTCAGTATTGATTTGTTGTAGGACTATAGCTCAAAATGTCCTGCCAGGTAGGTTTCTTATTTGAAAACGCATTTAGATCAGTTATGGTTTTTGTTACTGTCTTCCAAACTGGTCTTTCCTGACTTTGTCACTCTGCTTCAGTGTGGGTCTGCTTCAGATGGTGTTGAAATTGTAATTTGATGAGTGACTGGATTAACCAGCTTATATTTCACTTCAACCCTGTGACAATATTGGCAGCTTTCTGGGGAGGATCTTCTAGAACAGGTGTCAGCGTTTCAAGTGATGTTCCTTTCCGATAACAGACAGTGATGTCACGAGACAGTGATTGCAGTCTCTATATTCATCCAACTGTTTGGTCTTCGGGATTCCGGAAATTTAAGAGCTAGGTCAAAGATGCACGATCTGTGCGCGGCAGGAATTTCCTGCCACAAAGGTAATGGTCCTACAGATTTAACTATGGTGAGCAACTCTTTTTCTGGTGACACAGTAATTTCTCTCTTGGTGAGCTTAAGTGTTCTGTTCTGATTCTGTTGCCAATATTTTAACTGAAACTTGCTATAGTCTTTTAAACACTTGTCTCCAAAGTGCAGCTCGATTGTGCTGGATAAAGCTTCAAAGTCAACCTCTGGTTTTGGGGCAGATTCTGAAGGGATATACACAGCAACTCCTTTCAGTAAAGTGGTAGGCCTTAGTTTTGGAATCCCGTATACAGAACTGTACACGTTGCAACGAGGTCTTTCCACCACATGTGGATAGCTTTAGAAAGGGTTGAGAAGATAAAAGATAAGGGTTAAAAGTCGTCAGAATAGTCACTATGGATTTCTTCCAGTTCCTTGGCCACAGCAGAAACCTTGCCACCAATTTGATGTCTGACAGAAGAAATAAGTCTTTCTTTGATTTGTTGTTCTCTTTCTTTGATTTGTTATTTGATAGCAGAAACTCTTTCTTTGATTTGTTGTTATACAGCAGAAACAACTCTTGCTTCGATTTTTTCAGCTTTAATTTCAACTCTTTTTCTTGTGTCTATTCTAACTTTTTTTTGTTGTGTCTATTCTGCATTCCATAGCTTTAAATTTGTTTTCTGTTGACCTGCTTCAGTCTTTTCTTGAAGTGACTTTATGGTCCCTTCCATCTCTTCTTTAACAGATTTGATGACCCCTTCCATCTTTTCTTGGATGGCAGCTAAGGATGTTACCATATGTCTTAGTTTCTCCTCCCTCACTATTGTCACTGACATTCAGTCCCACTTGACACCAAAATTTCTATGTGCATACGGTTTCACAATAGATTGAATGCATACAGAACCAATGGCAGCTTGATGAAATTTATTTTTCCAAAAGAAACACTTCACAGTTCTGGAATTTTTCACCGTAATCAGTAATTACCTCTTCAAACTATTAAAAGCATTACACAACTCCATATGAAAAGCCTCAAATGTGTAAGCTTGTACAATCTCTCATTGCCCTGTGCTCAACTCTGAACTGAACTCAGAACTGATGTTCTCTCCGGTTTTATATAGTTTTACCTCACCTGGCAAGAAATTTCCAGCACCTTCAATTTCTCAAAATTGCTGGAAGGTATATATAATTACAGTTACAGTTACATAGGGATCGAATTAAAATATTGGCAAATTTGGCAACTAATATGGACATATTATCAGACATACATATCACTGCATGCATTTCTTCAACATCTCAGGACAGCACCTCAGTTGATACTGTTTCGATTAAGACACATCAAGATTTAAAACCTTTTCATTCTGTAGGTGAATCAAATAGCAATACTGGAATTGCTATCAACAAAACTGAATTTTTTAATGATGCTATTATAAAATATAATATAAAAGAAACACACAGTTTCATACAAAATCAACTTTCAGTTACTCTACCTTTTTAAAAATCAATGAAATTTTCATATGTGATATAGAAGCAAATGAAAGTGATTTTTCATTTGGTTATTTTGATGGAAATAATCAAAATACTTAATCTTCTTTTTGAGATAATGCCTCCATTTTGTTATATTTATGGTGTTCTTTTATGAAAAATTTTTAATAGTTTTTATTTGTTTAATGAAATGAAATAAAATCTGTGATTGTTTGGATATTTTTGTTGTGTTTGTGGGAAGCCAAAAATTTTAATTTTCTAAAATTCATTATTTTAAAGAATTTTTAAGGAAAATATGCTAAAATTTTAAAATTATTTTCTAACAACTATCTGACTGTTCCTTTTATAATGTGGCAAAAATTAGAACAACTGGATTACAAATATTATTCATGCAAATTTTTTTTTTTTCCGAAAGTGAGGCTTAACAGCATGATTTGCATGCAACCACAAGACAATGCATCCTGTTAGCATACTATCTCGACACAGTAGTTTGGTGACTGAGTCGCTTGTCTCGAAAGGATTAAATTTTTATTAAATTAAATAAACTTGATTTTTTAAATATAATTAATTTATTTCAATATCATTTAAAATCTTTGACAGTATAATTTCCTCTAAGCCTAGTCTTACTTTTTTTTAAGCCATTTTCCTTAAAGTGCTCATATATTAAAGTTACATATTAACAACAATCTTTTTCAAAACTGAATGGTAGAAAACATCAAATGAAAATTAAAATAACAGTTTCATGGAAATCCTTTTGTTCCACAAGATCTGAAGGTTGTGACATGAATACTGACAGCTCTTCAATATTCGAAAGGCATTTCAAAACTGATAGATAAGAATATACATGGAAATATACGATAAGACTGTACTTTTTGGGAGTGGGGGGGTACTTTTTTGAGATTCTCATCAATTTTATTTTCAAGCTCTGATGCCCAGATTGCCATGCTATTTATGTTAGTAAAGCTGAATAATAAAGAATATACAAAAGAGATATTAGATTCATCTTGAAACTGTGAATTAGTATACAGTGATAGACAATTTAATGCAAATTCTAAAGCTGCTCATAGATTTTAGAAAGGATAAAAATTTAGAACACAACAGTAAATTTTAAAATCGCTAGAGAAGGAAGGAAGGAAGGAAAATGAATTGTCAAAAACTGCTGCATGTTTCAGCAAAATATATCAACAGCAAACCTTGTGTTATAATTTGTCTTTTGCTTTTCTTCAAATTAGGAAGTTTTGATATTTCTCCTCACTTGAAATGTCCTGACTTACAAAGCTAAATTTGAAACACCTTTGAATTTTGCAGATATATATATAAATTTCTCATTTCCAGAACTTTTAATTCAAGTAACTATTTCTAGAAATTTACTTTCTGCTGCAGCTTCTAAGATAAAATAATTGTACAGCAATCATAAGAATAGTATATTGCTTGAAAAAGTCATTACAATCACTATTTTTTACTACATTAATTTGTTTTTAAGCTATTGCACTTTGTATATCTGTATGATTTTCCATGAAAATAATAATAATAATAATAATAATGAAAGTTTAGTTTTTTTACATTTTATGACCTATTTATAAAATGTAAATCAAAAGATAAAATTCTAATAAAAAATTAGTAATTATGAAAAAGTTAATCCAGAAATGTAAACATATTTTAGAAAGTATACAAAGTAATTAAAGCTGTCATTCTTTATAGCAAACATACTACATAATATATAACAACTTCCTTTTAGTTTTTCAATAAAAGCTTAGTTAAAAAACATCTGCAATTATAAGAAGTAAAAATATTTCATTTTTTGGTGTTTATAAATCATTGCAGCAGCAAACATGCATTTGAAACTTTTAAAGTCTCAAAAGCCTGTCGGCAATGTCATGCAATAATATTATGGTGTTTAATTTTTCACCATGTTTTCCCCTCATATTGTTTTCATAACAATTCCCTCTGATAATTTTGCTACAATTCTTCAACAAAAATCCTTATTTTCCTTTATGTAGAAGTGATTTAATTTTCCATTTCTGATCATTTTCATTCATAATATTGCAATTTTCATGCAATATTAATTATGATCACCTCAGGCTTATTGGATAGAAAATGTATCTACGAAAAATATTATCATAAAATCATATCTTACACATTCTTTACATACAGTTTAAAATTAAACATAATGCAAAATTTATTTTTATTTTCCTAAGGTACTTTCTTAATATACTGATGCAGACCATTTTATTTTTTAATCAATATTATTTTACCTTATTTATAATTTATTTTATATAAATTTTATATACAATATTTATATACAATATTTTATATACAATAAAGAATGTACATTTCACATATATCAGTGCAAAATAATATTAAAATAAATATACTACATAAAATGCAGTTATTTCAATGTCATTGACCACATAAAATGTAGCAAATTCTCACAACTCAATGACTATATTTATGAAGAAAAATTTCTTCATAGCAAGCTAATATTTTTGTATGCTTTACTTTGTAGTTACAGAATATATTCTTCAATAGAATCTATGCTCTTTAAAATTTTTTACCCTTTTTCAGTTGAGCACAAACCTTCTGTAATGCATACAATTATCACATGCTTTTTTGGTGGATCTGGGTCTGAGGTGTAGGCTTCTTTGGTACTGATTTGCTTTCACATCTCCATTAGCTCACTGATTGTCAGCTCTTTGCTATGTGAATCTAATAGCCCACTGATATCATCCCTATTAACATCCAAATTTGAGAAGAATGACAATTTCTATTACATGAATGATTTGATCCAATTTGTGGCATTTCCTTCACCTCCCTTTTGAAAAAGATTGGACGCATTTTCTTCCAGATGCTGTTTAAGGTTTTTTTTTTTTTTTTTTTTTTTTTTTTTTTTTGGGGGGGGGGGGGGACTTTAATTCCAAAATTCTGCAGTATTTTTTAAGGCACTTAAAGCACTGAATTGAGCAGGGAATCTGATGATGGGGAAATAAGGAACTGCATAGTTTAGAGTTTGTGTAAGTTAGGGTTAGGGTACTACTATAGTTATAGATTAATAAATGAAAAGTTATAATATTTGCATTAGTTTTAAAATTTATACGTTTACTTAAATATTAACTGACATAATATAAAAGATTCTACAGTATTATAAGCAATAATAAGATTTACCTGTTTTACATGAGCATCAGCAATTTCCTGCATGCGTTGACTAGTACTTCCTTTTTTGTGTGGAATATCCTTTTAGCAAAAAGTACAGACTTAATCATACCACATTTTAAATATGAACATAATAAATAAATTTTTAAATAATTAAAAACATTTCCTTTAAAGTAGTTCCAGAAATTAAAATTTTCCATTGAAATGTATGCACTAAATATGATATATTGCAGCTCAAAAAGAAAAACTTTTCATTAAAGCATTCTAAAAAATTATACAAGCACCCAAGTAAATGAACAATTAAATGTTATTTACAATATGAATTCATATAACACCTAAACTACCATTACCTGACATGAAACATTTTGCAACAAAAAATGCAAGCATATCATTTAATTCATTTATAAATACCAATATAGCTTGGCAAATATTTCAACTATATTTTTGCTATACTCACTATACAAATGCAAGGTGTCTGTAATTAAAGAACCCTATTTCAAAGCTGCCTTCAAGCAAAACCACTGATCAGAAAATTGTGAATTTTTGTGGCAGACTTGATAAAGGGACAAGAATGTATTTCAAAGAGAGAAAAAAAAAAAAAAAAAAAATATTTACAAGCAGCATCACCAGAGGGACTTATATGAATTAATTATATATTTAACCACATCTTAACAATAGTTTCACAATTTTGGCACATGCAAAATTACAAAAATTAATAAAAAATAAATTACGAAAGCATCGGCAGTTTTCGTAAAACAGTTTTACTAACGAAGTGCACTCTCGTAAGCTTATTGTCATTGTGAACAACAAGCTTAATGAAAACAAAGTCTCTGCGCATGTTTCTAGGTTTTATAACAGCTGTTACATGACATTGACATAGATTTACATTTTTGCTACAGGTTTTCAAAGTAAAATGACCTTTGGTGCCAGTATTTGTAACTAAGTTTTTTTTCCCCTCTGAAAGACATTTTCATTCCTTCATTAAGCCTGCCACAGAACTCTACAGTTTTCTAATCACTGGTTTCACTTGTGAGCAGCTTTGAAATAGGGTTCTTTAATTATAGACACGCTGTATTATACAAGAATTTAAGATTTTGACAGAAAGTTAGAAATGGTTAAAAAAAAATTCAAAACCAATAGTCTTGACTAAAATATATCCCAAATAATATATTGTTGCTTCGCTAATTTTATATTTGGTGATTATGCCAGTTAAATATAAATATTTCATTAGTTCTTATGAATCAGTACCAATTGTTGAAAAACATTCACAAATTTAACAGCTAGACCAATTGCAGAAGAAATAATTAAAATGTATCAAAACAAATTCAGCAGCATTTAATTCTAAAGGGGCGAAGAAAAGTGGAAAAGGGGGGAAATTATTTTAGTTGTAAAAATGTTAGTCACATGGCTTGTTTTTGTTATAAAACAAATTTTTTGAGAAAGGTATTTTAAATGTAACAAAACTGGGAATTTAGCAAATTTGTGCAGAAAAGAACATTCTTAAAACAAACAATTTTGTAAAATATATAACAAAAATAGTCATAATGAAAAAGACTGTCTTTTTCTGCAAAGCTAAAAGCTAGTAATAATAATAAACTAGTATAATTTTTTAATGTGAATTAAGCAAATAATATGTATGTAAACAGTGCAGTTAGATAGATACCTGACTCAGGTTTGTCATCGCATATGGTTAATAATGAGTTCTTAATATATTCTAAAAGCATTACACCAGAAATTTCTTTAAAAAGTCTCAATCAATGCAAGTAAGAAAACAAGTACAGGAGAAACTGATAAATGCATTCTAAATGATGTCTTATAGTTTCAGAGCTAAGAAAAAACTTATTATCATCATATCTATGTATGTATTATACATATCATATCTATGTATGATAATAAAGTAGAAAAAAAAAAAAAGCAAAAAGGTTTTGAAGGATGCAGAGCTGGAAATGATTTGTATAATAAAATTCTTTTTTAGAAACAAACTTTTTTAGATTCTTTTTTACAAGAAATTTTAAAAATGCAAGTGCTTTAGCTGAAACTATATTATAGCACAGAAAACTGAGACATCTTGGTTATAAAAATGTGACAAAACTTGTTCTGTTATCTAATGGTGTGGAGATTTACCTAAAGAATGACTCTGTCTGTGAAATATGTTTCCAAGCTAGACAAAGATTGCCTTTTAATTCTGAAAGATCATGCTAAGAGGCCTTTCGAAATAATTCATAACTGATGCATGTGGATCAGTTGATTAAATAACATGGATTTAAAAAATTTTCTTCATGACTATACACATTTTGTATTAACTTAATTTACTGAAGGTAAATGTGAAACATTTAATGCAATAAAAGTTATGAAGTAGAATTTGAAGCTAAATAAATGTGAAAGTGTCAAAATTAAGATGCCTCAATATGGGAGAAATTATTAGTGAAAATTTAAAATTTGATGCAAAAACAGAGTTATTATTTTTAATTATGGTCTTCCTTTTTCATCACAATTAAATAGAAACACAGAAAGAATGAATTAACCATTACTATATGTATATATTTAAAAAAAAAAAAAAAAAAAAAAAAAAAAAAAAAAAAAAAACCCACATAGACAGCCATGCTGAAAGATTCCAAAGCAGGAAAAAAGATGTGCAGAGAAGCTCAAAGATCTGCAGCTTATTTGTTAAACCATAGTACAACAGAAGCAGTTAGTGCTTGGAATAAACAAAGGCCTAATTTATTAAATGGAATAAACAAAGGCCTAATTTATTAAGACTGAAATTTTTTTAAAGTATTGCATACGCTTGGGTAAATAAACAAATTAAGCAGCTTAATTCACAAAGTGAAAAGTATATATTTGTTGCATATGAAATAAATGGCATTTTAATATGAATAGAAATTGGAATTGAGGAAACTGTAATACTAATATCCAAAGATGATGTGTTTAATGAAAATTTAGATTCAATAAATGGACGAGACAAAAAATAAACACACAAGTAATTTTTGCAGGAAGAAAACCAAAATCAAACTTCAGAAAATAATCAATATAACAGCATTTCCACCTTGAAAGATGATAATTTAAAAGCTGTTTATGAGAATGAGAAAACATGAAGCTGACAATGAAGAATGACTTACTAGAAACAGAAAATTATCAGCAAAGTACAGTAACTTTGTAATATTGTCATACCAAGAAGCAATATCAGAAGATTTATATACATATATATATTAAAAAAAAGTTAGAAGCTATTGAAGAAGAGAAAAAGTCTTTTAATTAAAAATAAAACTTGGAAAATTGTGAATGAAAGTAAAGCAGAAAAAAAGAAGAAAAAAGTGGGAGGGGAAAAAAGAAAATTTTAGGCAGTAAATGAATTTTTAATGTGAAAGGAAATGGCTATTTCAACAAGTTAGACATGTTGCAAGAGAGTTTGAACAAGAAGGAACTGAGAAAATTTACAGTCCTGTTGCAAAGAATGCAGCATTAAAAATATTATTTGCAATAGTGGTTGAGAAATGATGCAATTTGATATAAAAACTGCTTTTCTGTATGGAGACATAAAAGATACAAATACAAAAGTTCCAGACAGTTTTCATTACAGAAATAAAATATTAAAATTACAGAAATCTCTGTATGGACTAAAACAAGCTCCTTTCAGTTGGAATAATTACTTCACAAAATTTCTAGAGATTTCATTCAAACCAAATGTGATGTGTATTTAAAACAAAATGATTCCTTGATAATTTTAGCAATATTTGATGATGATGGTATTACAAACAAAACTCCAGATTTAATTCTTGCTGTTAGTCTTAAAAGTAAAAAATTCAAGCACAAAAGATGTTGTAAATGTCAAAAATACTCTTAAAAGGTACTGTAAATTTAGGTTTTCATTATATATGTTTCGAGAACTGTTCTACTTCAACCAAAAAATTAAGTTTTCTGTGATGTTGCTTATGCAAGTGATAATGAAACATGAAGAAAAACTACTGGATATGTGATGTCATATAAAGGAAATCTCACGAGATGGAGTATTAGGAAACAACCAATAACTGCTTTGTCAGTTATAGAAGCTGAGTAGATAGTGGCAGCAGACTGTGTCAAAGAATTTTTACATTTAAAATATTTTTTTTGGAAGAAATAACCAATAAGACTGTTAGAACTAATTAAAATATGGATGACTGAAGTGAAATTAAATTGATTAAGAATGAAATTTTTAATAGAAGTAATGCAATTTTTGTAAGAAAAACTTAAAGAAAGGTAATATTAAGTTAATTTTTGTAACTTCTGGCAATAACATAGCAAATATATTTATGAATGAGATACATTCCATAAAGAAAGAAATTATTTATAGGGAAGCAAAGTATTTGGAGACATAAAATAAAATGGGAAGAAAACAGGTTTTCACTGATAACTAGTTTATGGTTCCAAGATTCCTTTTCTTAACACTTTGCATTTCGTATATTATTGGGCTGAAGAACTAACTTCCTTAAAATGGTTAAATATAAGTGAAAGTACAACATGATCAGAACAACTCTATGAGAGATGTTTGTTGCTTGTTTTTGATGAAATACAAGAAAGATAAAATTGGCAGACTGGAATAACTGCCAAGATTTATGAAAGTCCATTCGTCAAGCGAAGGAACAATGGAAGCAGAATTTTATTACAACAGTGGGGTTTAGAAGGAACCTACAGGGAAACAAACCAATGTTTATTGTACAGATTTCATGTAGAAGTGCCAAAAATCAATATGGTGAAAAATATAGCATGGTGAGGGAATGATATAGGAGGTAGAAATGATAAAAGAATACCTAAATGAAAGAAATACTATATATTCCAATTGCTGGCATGATTATTAGACTGAAGAATTAGAAAAGACTTGTTTTCAAAATTTCACAGTGAATCATAAATACATTTTTGAGGATCTAATATCTGTGGCAAATACCCAGAACACTGAATATCTTTGGGGTGCAATGAAATAGGGGAGGGAAAGAGGAACATCTGGCCAACATTTATTTAGGAATATTTATGTGGTGGTGCTTTGTAGGGCCAGACAAAATATTTGACTCTATTTTAGCAGTAATTGCCAAATTATGGTCTCTACAAATGCAAATAAATGTTATTTCTTCAAAGACAAATAAATAATATGTCATGTTAAATGTAAACAAACATTATTAACTGTTAAATAAAAGTTATTTATGCTCCCATTTTGTGATTTTAAAATTTTTTGAAGATTGGCATAGTGTTTCCTAATATTTGCTAAATTAATCTTAAATGTCGCAAAGCATATGGGGTTGCCACTTCAATAAAGGAGTACAAAATTTTAAATTAATTTACATTTTACCTGTACAAATGCTTGACAAATAGCAAATAGTCTTTTACCACAAGGTAAGAAAAAAGCATCTGTTAAATTAACACCATTGTTTTCCAAGGCTGAAGCTACAGCTACTCTCAGTTTCTGTGAAGAAATACAAAACAGTTAGACAAGAAAATGATGAATACTTTTAATATTTCTAAAAAATTTTAATAGAAATATATATATATCCTCTACTTTATGAACTTTATTTAACGCCATTTTGCTTTTAAAAAAGACATAACTAAATCAGAACCTTTTTTTTTTTTGGTTGACAAAAGAAATGAAAAGAGAAATTTCAGTTTGATGGAGAAAAGCAAGAAGTAGGATTGGTCTTCATTTGATGCAGTGATTTTAGAAAGGAAATACATTAATTACTATACGACATATATATAATGCAGTTTAGCAAGACATTTTCCTTACCTGCAAAGAACTGTATAATAGGAGCAAAAATGGCAAGATCAGGTGTAAAGATATTATCTTATTCCAGATTTTTAATTATTAGCTAAAGTTAAAGTTATAAAAAAGTAATAGATAAAAAAATAATAATAATAGAATAAAAAGTTAATAGATGATCATTGAGCTTTTTCTTCTATACCCCATGCTCTACATCCAATATTATTTTAGCAACTCAATACATTATTGTCTCCTAATCTCCCAGTATGCTTACTTTTTAGTTTTTGAAAAATGAAGCTGCATCATACACATGACACTTACATTCATGTGATTCTGCATATTTATCATAGCTGTACACATTTTTTGCTGTTATTTTAGAATTCAAGGGATCTTTAATGATGATTTCATGTTTTTAAGGCTTGGAATATTCACAAATTCTTTTTTTCTTTCCTTCACAAAAGGTTTCATAAGAATGCTCATGTACAGTGGAGAAAACCTGTAATCTATTTTGTACATTTATTTCCAAAATAGCAATGCATTTTGGAAATAAATGTATATATTTGGAAATAATTATGAATGCTTTACTGTGATAAATTACTCATAAACCATTGCTATTTTGGAAATAAATGTTCAAAATAGAATGAGTGTTTCACTGTGATATGTAATAATAAAATATAAGTGCTTTACTGTAATAAATTGTGATTCCTCCCAATTTCACAAGGAGGCATCTCTAGAGATTGGTGGACGTAGTGCTAAACCGATTAACCACAAAGGTAGAGGAATGGTGCCCACTTTCCCCACTCACTCATTGTAATAAATTATTTAACTTGAAACACAGCTGTAAATTATAAAATACAATGCTAATTAAAATAAGTTTTCTGATTTTTAAGTTCATTCATTTTCAATTTTCCTACAAGATTTTTCAAATCCATCAATTTTTTTAATAAATGTTTAAAGCTTTTGGAAAATTTCGGTAATCTACCTTTCTTAAGAATATTATTCCCAGAAGATGTGAAAAGAGTACAATAAAACATGAAAACAGAACTTGTACTAAATAAAAAAAATGAACTATTTTCTCTTATAACATCCTTAAATTCCTTTAAATTTGCATTTATACAACTTTTAGCCCACCAGTGGCCGAGCAGTAAAGACGCTGAATACTGGTAGTTCGGTCCAAGGTTCGAATCCCGTGAACGGGCTGGCTGCATGGGCGTTTTCGTGGTTTTCCCCATGTGTAATGTGTATAAGAGCCAGTTTATGTTAGAAAGTCCTCCACGAAGGCATCCCTCCCTTTTAGGCAGATAGCCTTCGTGTGCTTTGCCATAATTGAATAATCCAATCTTATACAACTTTTAGCTATATTTCATTTTTCTTTTAAATATGCAGCTTTTCCTGCAAAAATCACTTATAATTTGTCATCAATATTTGGCCAGTTTTCTAAATACAGTAGCACACCCTGTAAGGGAAATTCTGTTGGTTTTAGTCCTTTAGAATAAGGACTTTAATGCATTTACCTCTTAATAAGGAACACAGAAAAAACTTTAAAATAAGATAGATGATAGAAATAAATAAAAAAAGAAATAATATTTGTTAAAAATCTTTTGAAGAATAAAAGTTTGTCATGAGTGAAAGATAGTTTTGTGACACAGGAACCAGGGTTCGTACACATTTCCTTACATGAAAATTAAGGACTTTTAAGGACTGTTAAGTCATTAAGACTATTTAACTGTAAGATTACGTCATTTTTTCTCTTCTTGGCACCTTGCATGGCGCAGATGTTCATTACAGCAACCCTGTAAACGCTTACTCAGTTTTTTTTTATTGCTGTTGTTGTTAGTAGTAAGTCATCGCTTGAAAGATGGCACACATTTGATTAAAGTTGTTGAATAAAATATTTAGTACAGTCCACTTCTAGTTAATTTGAAATTGTTGTATAACAACGCACGCATTCGCATGAACACTTTATGGCCCGCCGAGCCACAGGTAAAGATATCGTTGCTAAAATTAACTTTTAGAAAATTTGTAATACTTTCGTTTGTTGTATTACGGATAACTTCATATAGAGTGTTTTGGAATGCTTTCGTTTTCATGTGGATTACGCAATTAAGATTGGATACTGTGTCATCGTTCATTTCCGGGTTACAGTCGAGAAATCTGCAATCACGGTAAGTGATAAATTATTTATTTGTTCATGATGAGTGAATTGAAAGCGATTAAAGCTGGCAAAAAAAGCTTTAAAATGCAGTATCACAATGTTTGAAAATAAGGTATAATTCAACAATGGACGAAGCAGATATTTCCTTATTGGAGTTATACGAATCAAGATAATTAGAATTTAAAAAGTAATTAAGTAATATTTTCACAAAAATAAGAGTTTGATTCTTTATTTGCGCAATGTGAGGAAAATGAAACTGAAGAATTCATTAAGGAAAAGGAAAATATAGTAGATAATCTCTATGAAATTTATTTGAAAGAATTTATTAAAAGAAAAAATTTTGAGATCAGTTCTCAAAGGAATAGTTATTCAAATGAAAACGGTTTGAGTAAAGACGTAATTGTTTCTGATGTAAAATTTCGTAAATTGTCTCTTCCTGTATTCAGTGGGAAAATTGAAGAATGAATCGAATTTGAGGATTTATTTTCCGCAGCTGTGCATAAAAATAGCAAATTAACTAATGCGCAAAAATTGCAATATTTAAAGAGTTCGTGTAAGGCAGACGCTTTAAATATTATTCAGTCCATTCCAATTTCAGATTCGAATTATGACATAGCATGGAATCTGTTGGTGATCGCTATTGCAACAAAAAAGATTTGATCAATTCTATCATAAAAGAATTAATTTCTATACCTCACACGAGTGATTCTCCTACTTCGTCACTTTTAGAATTTATCGATAAGGTTGCATGAATGTTTACGATCCTTGGAAGCATTGGAGCAAAAGGTGGAAGATTTTCAGACCCATTAATTGTTATTTATTAATTGAAAAGTTGGATAGAAATACTCGGTGTTGGTGGGAAAGGTCACTTAAAAAGACGAGATAGGAACGGTTAAACAACTGACATGTTTTTTGAAGGAAACGCTCGCACCCTATCACATTACAAACCTCCGCATGAGGATCGAAACGTTCATTTAATACCAAAGCTCTTACATCACTTTCGGAAAATTAAAAAAATTGTCCTTATTGTAAAGCTGATCATTTATTGTTGAAATGTGCGCAATTCTTAAATTTAACAGTCAAGAAACGATTTGAATTTGTAAGACAAAAACTATGTTTCAATTGTTTATCTTCGGTCCACACATCAAGGACTGTAAAAGTTCTAATACATGCAGAAAAATGTCAGAATTTCACAATTTGCTCTTACATTTTGATCGAAATGAAGAAAATTTCGAATAAAGCAAATGGCACATCGATCAAATCACAACAAGACTAATAAATTTAGCAGTAATCTTTCTCCAAATGCTGATACATTACTCCAATGGCAAGCAGCCAAAAGGTTAGTGACACTAATGAAACCAACCCAAGTCCATTACGGTATGCGTTGAATATTCCAGTCTTTTAATCAATAAGTCTACTTCAACTGCAATTATTTTTCGTAAGGGTAATGATGGAAAATTTATCTCGCTGAGAGCCTTGCTGGATTCCGGTTCTCAAAATAATTCATACTTAAACAAGGTGCTGAGTTTGAATTGAAGAAAAGAAAAATAAACGCTTCTATTTCAGGTATCAATGGTACAGTTATGGGTGTTAAGGAAAAAGCTATCGCAACCATCGCTAACGATACTAGAGATTTTATTCGTACCTTACAATTTTTTTGTTGTTCCAAAAATAACTCGGGTAACGCCTGCTAGATATATAAACATTTCTGATGTTAAGCAGTTGCAACTCATTGGTTAGCTGATCCAGAGTTTTATAAACCTGGTCAAATGCAGTGTTTATTATCTAACGAATATTTTTTGATTTTTGACTGGGAAAAATAGAATAAATATGCAAGACCTGATTCTCCATCAGTCAGTTTTGGATACGTCGTTAGCGGGTCAGTGCGCATGCCGCAGCAAGGCAGTGTTGATAATTTTTGTGGGTTTGTGGAAAATGGGGGATAATTTATCTGACAACATGAGAAGGTTTTGGGAGATGAAGGTATTAATGAAGCAAAAAAAGTGAAAAGTCGGAAGAGGAATTTTGCGAACAGCACTTTCTTCGTACACAACGAGGCAAGATGATGGCAGATATGTAGTGGAAATGCCAATTAAGGAGGAAGGACTAGCCTTTCAGGGAATCGAGAGAAAACGCTAGCAAAAGACTGATTATCTACTTAACGCTTCACTGCAATCCGCAATGAAACACTTATACGAAATTTCATTAAGGAATATAATAAATTAGGCCATTCCGAAGAAATTGGTGAAGGGGATAGCTCTAGTTGCTCATATTATCTTCCTCACCATGGGGTTTTCAGGTCTGAGAAACCTAGCACTGAACTACGTAGGTTCGATGCCACTGCTCCTACGACTACTGGAATTTCGTTTAAACGATATTCTGCTGGAATGGAGGGTTAGTTCAAGACGAACTATTTGATATTATTTGCAGATTTCGAACGCATAAAATTGCCTTCACAGCAGACATTGTAAAAATGTATCGTCAGATTTTGATTAAAGACATCAAAGAGATTTATTACGCATCTTATGGAAGAGTAGTGAAGAAGAACCAATTA